GTGTGTGTGTGTGTGTGTGTGTGTGTGTGTGTGTGTGTGTGTGTGTGTGTGTGTGCACCATTTAGGAAAACGTGTGTGCCTTGGAGAAGGTCTGGCCAGGATGGAGCTGTTCCTGTTTTTGGTTGGCCTACTGCAGAAGTTCACTTTCTCTGCTCCTGAAGGAGTGGAGCTGAGTACAGAGGGAGTCACCGGGTTTACTCGCGTTCCTCACCCCTACAAGGTTTACGCTAAGGTTCGCTAACATAACATGAAGAAGGTCTTCCTGACCCTGCCCTCTGAACCAGCCCATACTGGTTTCTTTAACGTTTGTTCTGACCTGTACAATGTCAGATTATTTAGCTCTTGTATTATTTCTGGACTCTTAATCAGCTGCAGATTGATCGATATGTACACATTCCATTAAGCTTTTGAAAAGAAGTTTGTTTTTGCATTTTTTATGACATGTTTGTAACACGAACAACGTTAATGTGTTGCTTGACAGTTATTTCTATGTAATTGTTTTAAGTGTTTCAACATTTATTGTGCTTTTTTTTCCCAGAAAAATAAAATAAAATTGAAGTGACACCATTGTACTTGTAAGAGTCTCTTGGACAAAGACACATAAACTTCAATTAAACTTGAATGTTTTCCTATGTTAACTGTCTGTCTTAGTTTGGGATCTTTCAATACCTCAGTTATATACAGTTTCCAATGGTTGCATGGTGGGTTTCAGTCATTGACTGTCTCCCATTGCCTTCTGTAACGTTAAGTTGCCATTAAACTGAAACCTGTTGTACAAGAAAAATGGGCTAGGGGTCTGATGACTTTTTGACTGGATTCTCTTAACAGAAAGTTTGTTTCCACCTTCCCCTTTGAATGTTTTGTTTTGTATTTCTGGGGGGTGGGGGTTGCGGTGCGCGACTGCTCTTCTATAACACAGTTGTTTACACTGAAATTAAAAATATTTCACCAAAGAAAAACCGGAGCAGGACTACAGAGAGAGATAAATATGATTTAGATTTTTATTTCTGTGACTACGACACATGGGAGACACTACATTAACAGCACATTTCATTCCTCGGCTTTAAAGTAGCTTCTTTAATTTCACAGCTGACGCTGCTAAAAATTACAGATTTATTTTGATCTCTGAGAGCATAACTTCAATCTCAGAACTCGCACAGTTCTTTTTTTTTACTTTGCGATGTCACTTATGAATGGACACTTCCTGGTATATGTGGCAGGAAACATATATCCTTATATGGTGTTTTTGGGGTGGTAGATTTTGCTAATCATCTCTCCACGTGCACAAGAACCTGATATGCATTCATCAGTTTACGCTCCTCATTTACACACTTTTCCTGAAGATATAAGAGTTTATTTAATCTGACGTGGCATGTTCGTACGAACTCTTATGAACAAAAGTAAGAGAAATTTAGGATAAGAATATGAACATGTTCTCGCATGAGGCCCATTGTTTATTTGCATGACGTATGTAGTAGAACTCTCCTTTTGTCATTGTTTATATGTAGCATCATTATAGCTACGTTAGCGGCAGCATTACAATGAAATTGGAAGACCACTTCACAACGCACCACTGCAAAGCAGAGGGATTGCATTCCTTTGGTCTGGCCTCCAGATCAATTGGGTCGGACCAATCACTAAAACGGCCAGAGGAAAAAAATATTTTCTAACCGTGACTTGTGCATTTACAAAATGGGTTGAATGTCTGCCAGCTCCCAGCGACACAGCACAAACCACTGTGTTGTTAATCAACCATGTGTTCTCCAGATTTGGACTTCCCATCAGGGTAAATTCAGATCGTGGCACACACTTTACAGCTGAAGTGATTCAAGAACTGTGGAAAACGCTATGCGTTAAAGCCAACTTCCACACTGGCTACTACCCACAGGCATCAGGCCAGGTTGAAAGAGCAAAAAGAACTGTGGTAAGTATTTTAATGAAATATGTTGCCGCAAACCACAAGGACTGTGACATAAAGCTCCCCCTGGTCCTCATGGCCATCAGGGCCACTCTCCACACACATCTACTGGCATCTCTCCCTTTGAGATGAAGACAGGTCGACAGGTGACACTCCCCTTACATCGCTTGTCCAGTCTGGTGACACCACTATGGCAACAGCCTACACCACACAACAGTACATGAAAGACTTAGAGAAACATCTCAAAAACACCTTTGCTTTTGCCCAGAGAAATCTTGAAAAGTTCGCTGAAGGACGCAAAACGTACTATGACCAAAAGGCCTCTCATGAAGAACTCCAAGTGGGAGGGAAGGTCTGGTACTACACTTTTACCCCCACAACGGGACAAGGAGAGTCCAGGACTGGAACTCTCATCCGCAAATTAATGCCCAGGTGGACTGGACCACACAAAATAACAGACAAACTGTCTTCAGTCATCTATCAGATCAAAATCAGCCAGGGTCAAAAAGAACCAACCGTTAAGTGGGTTCACAGGAACCAGCTCAAACCTACAAGGTCTTCAATGAGTAAATCAAAACTTCAGATAAGATCACAAAATTGATCAGTCAAAGTATAAACTATTTACAAAACAAGGTAAATAGGTCTTGAATTAACACATCTTAAAGAGGAAAACTCACAAAACTTAGAAACACTAAGTCTAAAATTTTAAAAATCTTAAGAAAATTTAAATAGGTCATAACAACCAGTTAGATCACCATGATTTAACTCGACCATCAGCGTTGGCTGAAGCATTAAAGCACCAATTGCTTGATTGCTGAGACACTAACATTGTTGATGTGTGCATGTTCCAGATCTCTTATTATTTTGAAGCAACTGAATTAATGTTACTGTGGAAACAGTGAACAACATTGTACTGGTTCTGAACACTCACAGCCAAGAAATTTAGGTTTTCTATTGCTTTAATGATTAAACTGAAATGTACAACCATGCCAATATGCAAAGATTTATAAATCTCACCTATTTTAAAGGACAATGCAGATTAAGGCTACTTTAGGTACCATAACCTACAGTGACAACACCACTCTTTTATATCAACCTTGCTTGGAACAATTCCAATTAGGGGGGTTATCAAAAATGTTTACCCAAGAGTCT